TGTGTGTGTGTGTGTGTGTGTGTGTGTGTGTGTGTGTGTGTGTGTGTCTGGGATAAATACTATTGGATTATAACCAGAATATAATTTTAGATAAACTACTGGATAGTTTATCTTGTATTTTTAATTTTATGTGGCTTGGAAATCCTGAGTACTATTTCTCAGAGACTGTAATTTTAATGCCTGACCCAATCAATCTAAAATTCTAACAAGGACAAAGTTATTTCACAAAATGGAAAATTAGTTAAGGAGCAATTAAATATCTCTCACCCCTTTACACACATAAAGCCAGTCCTTATCAGTCCTAGATGACTAGCCCCTGTGAGGAGTAAGCATGTCCCCACAACACTGCAAAGACAGAAGTCCAGAGAACTAAAATGACAATGATTTTATAGGTCAGACCAGCTTTATTGCTGCCTTGCAAGCCCAAGTGAATGTGGTTGCATTTTAATTGTACAACACAAAAAAAACCCCAAACTCAACCAACCAACAAAAAAACTTTCTCTGCCTAGATCAGAACCTTAAGAAACAGGAATTGCAATAGTCGGTATCCTGGAGTTGTCTGGGGCTAGTGTATCCTTGGCCTTGGAAAACCACATACCCCATGTAATGAGGGCAGTAAAAACAGATCCCCCAAACGTGTTCCACACAGGCACTGCATCCTACCTTGGTGTTGAAGTCCAGGGCATTCTGAGACGTTTTGTATAATTCAGGGTACTTCAACATATTCTCTTTTCTGCATGATCTCTCAAATATTCCAAGAGTTAAAGGAGGCATGGCTGTAAACATCTAAAGCACACAAACTGGTCATTATGTCAAGCAGCCAAATGCAGGGTGAACCTTTATCTCCAAGTATTCAATAAAACAGGAATTATTAAATGTCCCACACTTACCACATTATAAAGACCTATACACCATCTTTCAAAGAGGATCTGTCCAGAAAAGCCATTAACAAAGGCAAACCAGATCTAGGGGGAAGAAAAAACCCAAACCCCCAAAATTAGAATACAAAAACATAAATGCATTGCTTAGAATCTGTTGTACACTCAACTGCCGCATAATAGCAGCATTAACATATACTTATGACTCTTTTGAAAATGACATTTCTTTGCTTTACTTTCTGATTCAAAGAGATGCTTTCATATGGTATTTGTATTTATGTCAGAATTGGTCCTGCTTGCTGAACCAAAAAAGGAATATATGAACAGGCAATCACAGATTTAAAACTAAGAAACAATCTTGTTTTTCTTAACAGTACTTTTAGGGAATATATTTATGTGCCATTAAATTTTTCCAGCTTTAATTCCCTTTTAAAATATCAGAATGTAGTTATTTAAAGACTGCTTTTTAAAATTATGAAAGTAACACTTGTTTATTTAGGAAATAATTTTCTGCAATAATACAATCACTATTTTCTTCTGCATTGGTTGTATAATTCATTTAAATTTACAAATTTACTTTACTAGAAACCTGCATATAGAGAGTGTCATATTCTGCTCGTCCCCCTTAATATTAGGTAATATTCATTTTCTTAAGTTGTCATGTATCCTTTAAAATGATGTTAATAAATGTATAACCTCTACAATGTGGATATAACTTTTTTAGACATTTAACTTGCTTCCAGTTGTTTGCTATTACAGGTATAAATATTTCTGAACTGAAACCAAACATATTTCTTTTTCCTTAGGATGAATTCTTAAAGTAGAATAGGTCAAAGTACATGGGTTTTCTTAACAGCACTTGATAACTACTGCCGTCGGAATCTTAAATTTGAGTTTATATATTAAAATATTTTAACTTAAATTTTATTCATTGATAAAATCCTATCTTGACTAGAGCATAATATTCTTACATATTTTACAATGTTCTTTAAAACAGAAATCTTAGCCTTGGAAACAAAATTAAAGGACATAACGGACAAATTTTTCTCCAGCATGTTTGAAACAAAAGAAAAGTTAAAGTGACTATCAGTAAATAACAGTACCTACGTTATTGTAAAAAAAAAGCAGACCTGAAGCATAATGAAAAATCAAACGGATCTGAGAGAGTACAAAGGCTGGTCCAGCAATGAGATTACATAAGCACAAATACAAAAACAAAACCTAACAACAACGACAACGACAAAACTGTTAGAGGAGAGCGGTCTTGACATGTGGCTCAAGTGAATTTCTGAATCACAGTTGCAGGGAATTTGCTACACTTCACGTTTCATTTAACCTCATTATGGAAGCATGAATTGCTACAAATTCACCATTTATCAATATGTACCCAGGTTGGCCTCCCTATGAACAGGTTCTGTATCCACACTGATCTTCCTTTTTATAGTGGAAGGGAATAATTGAGCGTGTATACAAACTAATGTCTGCTTTATGAGATGGAAAAGAAAACAAAGTTGCAACAGCACATTAAAAATAAGTCCAAATTGTATTAGGGCTGTAACACATATTAACCACAATAACAAAAGCAGAGAAATCAGAGTTAAATTTGAAATTCTTACTTGCTTTGCTACACGTATTTATGGAAAAATTTTGATCATTTGCTCCAAACGAAGAGCCAGATCAATGATGCATGCAAACTTTAAAAGAACTGAGCATCTTCACATGAAGTGAAGTTTATCCTTTCTGGTGAGTATACACAAATTGACAAAACAGACATTAATGCTCTCTATTGTATTTTCACATTTGACCTGAGATGTGGATTATGTAAATACATATTTGGGATATTTGTGGTGTTGGGGCTATTTTTCATGAAGGCAACTGTGAACTATTATAATTCATTCTAAAAAGCTCTTTCAGATTTCTCAAGGTATGATGGAAATATAAGGGATTTTAAAAGAAACTTTCAATTATGGCCTCTGTCATCTATGAAGACACAGTCTAACCTTTGTTGGTATGAAGAAAGCCGAAGCGCCCTGCACACCAAGTTCATCTAAGGGACATGATTTGGCTCAAAGGTTGTAATTCTAAATGCATTTGCAATTATCAATACTGTACAATGAGAAGTTTATGTTAGTAAGTTTGTGTGTGGGCAAACAATCGTAAATATGAATAGCCCCCTAGCTTCTTTGTACATAATATTTGGTGCTGATTCAACGGCTACTATGAGCTTGAAATTTAAGATTCTCCCTCAGATCAACATTTACAGAAAGTTTCAAATTTGAAATAATTTGCAAGTAAACTAACATGTCTGTATCCAAAGTGTATTTTAAAATGCATAAACTGCTTTATGACAGACAATTTTTAAGTGGAAAGCTACCAACACATTTTTATCATTTTATTTTTCCTACTGAAAGGTAGGTGAATATGTTTTTACAGATGTACTTCCTGGATTTTTAAGGATTAATATTTTAATTTATTTTTAAAGAAGAAGAAATGACTAGGTAAGAACAGAAACTTTCAACAGAGCACCTTACATTTTTACACTAATATTTTGACATTCAAGTTTACATGTCTTAAAAGAGAAAGAGAAGGTCTTTAATAGCGAGTTAGTCTACCAGCAGGCTGAGTTCAAGTTAGGCTGAGATTGCAGTTAATATTAGGAACATATTCCATTCAAAATAAAAAAAACACCTAAATTCTCCTAAACACATAAAAGTCCCTCCTCTGTTTCAACCAGAGCCATGGATTCAGAAAGAAGATACCAGTCCCTCTGGGGAGGTGTCTAGGTTATTTAAATTCACAGGGAATTCAACTTCCAGCACAACTTGCTGGGACAGTTTCACCTTATTAACTTTAATCAAAGCTTCTAGAAATTAGAAATACTACTTGGTTTTGAGATCTTCCCAGAAAACTTGGACGTGACCAATCATTTGAAAGAAAAGGTCTTATTTTACTAGGAAGGAGTCAGAGGTATCAGAGAAATAAAAAAGTCTCTCTTTAAAAAGGAGCCCATCATTTAAATGAACACCTAGAGCTGCTCCTGGGCAGCTCCCATAAGAAAGAGCTTTATATCACCATCTGCCAAATCTGTATTTGCCTGGCTATAATTTACAGCAATGGAATATCTAGATAGTGACCTTCCTAAGCAATATAGCAATGGGAAAAGCAGTGTTCGTAGTTTTAAATACATAAAATGTACAGTGTTCAAGGCTATTCCTTTATTAGCAAAGAAATTTCAGACCCGTTTCTCCCGGTATTATTTTCTAAATTCCACCTCTCAGTAGAGGCGTGGCAGTAAAGCTTCACATTCATTTTCCTGATGGAGCATTTCTGCATATTAAACAGCAGCTTACAAATAGTCAATGAGTCCTCTGCTCCCACGCCTGATCAGCACAAAAAACTGAAAGGAGAGATTCGAGACTGGCAGTTGTCCTCACTAGAGACATTCAATGATGTGTTTTCTGTCTATTCATTCACAGTATTGACATGAGCCATTAACATCTGCAGAACTTGTTTTAGCTGGCAAAAGTTGGGTATCTGGGAATTGATTTAAAAGGTCAATTCATTTCCAAGACAGTTGAATTATATTCAAAATACATTTCTACAAACTGTTAAGAGAAAAACAGAAATGAGATTTCCAGTAAAGTTTAGAACTCATTTACTTTTCAATGTGTAAAGAATTTGATCAGTGTCAAATATCTCATGAAGAGGCTTTAAAATCAAAGCCAAGAGAAATTGAGGGTTAATCAACCACAAATCACGTAATTCTGAGTTTGAAACAGGGCATGCAGATTGTTTTCATTTGAGTTTAATGTTTTTATTTTCCCATTAGTACATAAATTTTGTCTACTTCACTGACAATTTAGATTTAAAAAGTGGCAAGTTGAGCATTCTTATTTTATTTTATAAAATTAACTTTTTATAAGCAGATTTATTGCTGGCAGTGGCTTTAAATTCCTGGTATCTCAAAAAGTCTATGTAAATAAACTGCATAAATTGATACTTGTTTGAATGTCAGTGTTGTGGAATGAGAAGAACATATAATTACAAAAGCTAGATATATAGAAGGGATTAAGAATAGAAAAATATTACTTTAGAAAAGAACTACACATTTATATAAATGACAAATAATATTTTTTGAACTCATAAACTATTTTAGAAGTCATTTTGCTTCAAAAACACAGACTATTCCAGACTAAATCCAGCAGTAATGAATAGCAAGTAAGTTCGTTTAAGTATCTTGTTTATATTTCTATGTATTAGGTTATTTTATCTAATGGGTTGTAACCTTTTTAGTGATCATTACAAAAAACTGCCTGTATACTTCAAAACTAAGTATCAATTTTACTAGCCTGACTCATAATAAGAACTATGCTTAGTCAACATTTAACAAGGAGATAAGCATTCTGACAGAGGCACAAAGAACAGCTGAAGCAAACATACAGCAATGGAAGTGTCAATGTACTGACTTTGTTTATACTGTTATTTCTCAGAGTAAAGAATGAAGATTATTTCTATATAGCAAATGGCTGTGTCTTTTTTCTTACAGATGTGTAGAAACAGTCAACAGATTAAAGGGTAAAGTGGCAGGAACAGACATCTATCTGTAAGGGAACCTTCAGCAGATTTATGAGGGCATGGTGGGTCCTTGACAGGAGTGGAAGATGGAGGTTTTCTTAACAATGGGAAGGCCATTGTCACGCTCTGCAGAGCTCCAACAGAAACATGAAAGCGATAACACCTAGAAGTATTACAAATATAGCTTCTGATGCTAAAATGGCCACTTTTTTAAAAAAAAGGCAAACAATGTATTTATCATGTCTTGATTAACCATTCAGTTCACTTATTTATCTACCATTGTTGTGCTGCCCAGTATGGTAGCCACTGGCCACACGTGGCTTTTAAACACTTAAATGTGATTAGTACAAATTGAGATGTGGTATAAATGTAAAATATACACCAGATTTTGAAAACTTAGGATGAAGAATGTAAAGTGTCTTATTAATAATTTTTTACAGTGATATGTGACAATGATAATCTTTTGAATACACTGAGCTAAATAAAATATACTGAAGTCAATTTATTTTTCCTTCTGCTAATGTGGCTTACACTGTATTTCTGTTGGCCTGTAATGTGGTTTGGCTGTCTCCTCACCCAAATCTCATCTTGAATTCCCATGTGTTGTGGGAGGTAACTGAATCATGGGGGCAAGTCCTTCCCATGCTGTTCTCATGACAGTGAATAAGTCTCACGAGATCTGATGGTTTTAAAAAGAGGAGTTTCCCCGTACAAGTTCTCTTGCTTTGCCTGCTGCCACCCATGTAAGACGTGACTTGCTCCTCCTTGCCTTTTGTCATGATTGTGAGGCCTCACCAGCCACGTGGAACTGTAGGTCCATTACACCTCTTTCTTTTGTAAATGTCCAGTCTTGGGTATGTCTTCATCAGTAGTGTGAGAACAGGCTAATACAATAAATTGGTACCAGTAGAGTAGAGCACTGCTGAAAAGATACCCAAATATGTGGAGGCAACTTTGAAACTTGGTAACAGGCAGAGGTTGGAACAGTTTGGATGGCTCAGAAAAAGACAGGAAAATGTGAGAAAGTTTGGAACTCCCTAGAGACTTGTTGAATGGCTTTGTTCAAAATGCTGATAATGATATTGACAATGAAAACCAGGCTGAGGTGGTCTCAGATGGAGATGAGAAAATTGTTAGGAACTGGAGCAAAGGTGACTCTTGATACATTTTAGCAAAGAGACTGGAAGCATTTTGCCCCTGTCCTAGAGATCTATGGAACTCTGAACTTGAGAGAGATGACTTAGAGTATCTGGTAGAAGAAATTTCTAAACAGCAAAGCATTTAAGAGGTGACTTGGGTGCTTTAAAGTTGTTTAATTCAAGTTGTTTTAATACATTTAGAATTTATAAAAAGTGGGCAAATAAAAAATTAAAACAATGAGAAAATGTCTTCATAAAGAAAATTTCTTTAAATATGTATGCAAATGACAAGGATTTTAAATTTAACCTGCTATTACCTCGATAATATAGAGCACTATATTCTTGTAGAAGCAGTATAAGATGCACTTGGAGACTCTGTTATAGTTCCAGGCACCATGAATCATCAGTAAATTCTTCAAATATTTGAACTAAAATGAGAGTGGGAAAAAATTAGTATTTTCCTTTTTGAAGCACAGTTGACTGAGAGGAATGATGTGTTTTGCAGAAATGACACTTTACCTGAGCTATGGAGTAGTCAGAGGAATTAGCTGCCTGCAGGCCTTCATTGCCACTGATACCAACACCAACATGTGCTGTCTGTATCATGCTGACGTCATTTGCTCCATCACCGATTGCAAGCGTTACGACTTTGACTTGTTTCTTAACCATCTCAACAACTTCAGATTTTTGAAGAGGAGAAACCCTTAAATTGAAATACATTGTCAATTATTGTTTTCTGAAAAATTAATTTTGAAATGCCATTGTGTTGAAGGATAAGAGATGCAAAAGACCTAGATGAATAGTTCTCTGAAGAACCCTAATGATAAAGTCCTAGGCTTGCAAATGTTTACTCATCTGTTAACCTGGTTATCACATTAAGAAAAATTAAAATAAATAAAGACAAATCTCAGAGGCAAACCCCTAGGTGACAGCTGGAAGAGAGAATGCTTTGTTAAGCGTTAGCCTGCCAGAATGCTTGCGTTAATATGTTAAAGAAATAACATTTGAGTTCAGAAATACCTTTACTTCCTAACAAATAACATCAAAATTTCTAATTCTTCACTAATAAATTAAAAACAATGTCACGAATGCTGTCAAATACGAACTAAATCCTACACAGTAGCTGGAAAGTAAAAGTTTTGAGCATCTGCAATCTGATCTTCGACAATGTACTATACGCTTAAAACAACTTAAAACTCTACTTAAATTCTCAGACACCATGGTAAATGCCAAGTATCTGATAATAGTTCATGGGCTTCATCTTCTTCCAAAGCCACTAAGAGTTAAGTAGAAATCAAGCAACCTCTTATACAAATGCAAAGTAGGAAGAGAAGACACCAGCATCTCTACTAAAATCATATTTGGTATTAGATTTAGAGTTAGTTTTCACAGAACTTTCAAAGCCATTTAAGAAATAAACACTAGAACAAGGACAGAAGGGTTCAAAGACAGAATGTATCAGCATAAGACACTGTCTACATTGTACTGGAAACTACAGAGAAAGGCAGGAAAACTACACAATAAATTGCTCTAACAAACTATTAAGCTAATAATTAGCAATAAACAACTAATGTACACAATGTTCGTACAAGAAAAACATCTCAGAACTAAATTCTTTATCAAGGTTATGTGGCATAGATATCTAACAATATCTGCTAAAACATTTGAAAAATCATTTATTATTCTATTGAAAAATGAAGATCATTACTTTGAAAAAATCGATACATCTTTGTCCATTTTCCTGATCACTCCATAGGAAAAATTCTTAGTGGAAGATACTCTGCACAGATATGCGCCTCAGGAGGCCCCACTGCCCTATGAATTGCTTTAGCCAGAGCAACTCTGGTTTTTACTTCAAGTTGGAGAATCATTGCATTAGACTGTGAGTTGCTTGCAGAGTCAATTGATCTCCATTGATCTCCTCTTCTTTGTATTTTTAGTGCCTGATCCAAAATAGATACTCAATAATTGGCTGCTACATAAAAAACTATTTTTAATTTTTTCTTTTTATTTCCTTTTACAGTCTGGCAATAGTACAAAATGACACAACTGTGAACTCAGCAAGGAAATGAATGCCTATTGAGCCATTAACAGGCAATTTCACTGTGAGCTTCATTTTTCTTCAAGGCAATTTTCATTTTCACATTTTATTTAATTTTTCTTACTAGGCTAATATACACTGGTAAGAACACTGGCTCTATGCCAATGTTTAAACATGGACTATAGCTGATATTTAGTAAATGTCAAAAAGGAATGCTCACCAATAAATGATCTAGAGTGGGAAATGGGCATGAGTTGAGAGAAGCATTTGTTAAACATTATCAAATTCCCTTTAATGGTCTAACATTATGGATATATTATAAAGTCACACCAAAGGTTCAATGGAACTAGGAAACAGTGGTACTTTTTCCATAAACTGAACCTGTAATAAAGGAGAAATCTCTGCATGGTAAGCTGATATTAGTGATTTTAAAAAAGCATCAGAAAGGAATTGGACTACATTTAGTTCTCTTCATGGTGATTACAACCAACCACTGCTTTCTCTGCTTGAAACTGCAATTTTCAACACCCAAATTAAAATTGGCTGAGGATTTTCATTCAATGCTCTAAGGCTTAATCAGGTGTTAAAAACAAAGAGTAGGATTGCCCTTAGCAACAATGCCCATTTAAGGGAAAAAAGATAATGATATAGTGAGAGACATCTCAAAAGTACACTGCAGATGCTACTAGCAAGAGCATCTGCTTCCATTACCAAGCTTTAAAAGTGGATGACTGGCTGGGCACGGTGGCCCATGCCTATAATGCCGGCACTTTGGGAGGCCGAGGGAGGTGGATCACAAGGTCACGAGATACAGACCACAGCCTGGCCAACATGGTAAAACCATGTCTCAACTGAAAATACAAAAAATAAAAAAAATTAGCTGGGTGTAGTGGCATGCATCTGTAGTCCCAGCTATTTGGGAGGCTGAGGCAGGAGAATCGCTTGAACCAGGGAGGCAGAGGTTGGAAGGGAGAGGTGAATTCACTTCAGGTAACAGAAATAGCAGAGAATAAATTTTAACTTCACATTCAAAATTATCCAGAATATATTCTTTTCTACTGCTGTGTCTCCACCTCTTTTAAGATCATGCAGAGTTTACTTTCTTGATGTAGGTACCCTTGCTTATAGATTCATACAATTTCCATATGAATCTAGAACTATCTTACCATACAACAAGTTAATTCTTCCCATGTCTATCAAAAAATCACATACCATGGCTGAAAATATCTAAAACCTAAACAAATGCCAATTGAGGAATTTATGTATAATTCTGAAACACCATAAAGGCACCGTTTTCTTCCCAGAGATTTTTTTTTTTTTTAAACCATTTGTGGGTCTGCCACCAGGATTTAAATCATTCACAGTTCTCTTCTGTTCCACTGTTGATTTTTCTTCTTTGGTAGAAGTGAGAAACTCCATGGAAAAAGACTACATATCCAATGTGTACTGTAAACCTCTCTTTCTCTTCCCTGTGGCTCCACAAACAGGGGGTGGTCCTTCCTTTGTGATACGACCTAGACGTGCACTGAGTGCAATATGCTTTTCAGATATTATTTTGGCTGTAGTTTCTGCACATGTTATTCATTATTTTTCTTATTTGCTATGTAGTAACTCTCACTGCCCTGTGAGCATTAGATCAGCGCACTGGAAATTTTTACATTGAAGCTAAGAAATATATAGGTGGTCCATCTTATATGAACCTTGTTTTGTACTCTTTTAATGGGATTAGCTAAATGAATCACCTTTTTAAATATGAATAAAGATTATATGTACATATATATACAGACATATAATAAAGGATAATTTAAGGAATTTTTTATAGATAGCCAAAAAGAGTAAAATAATTTATGCTACTGGATTGTGTTTTGGGATTAATAACCTAAAACATTCTTATATATACACAAAATTACTATTACTGATAATACTATATGATCTCAAAGACTTATAATGGAAACTTAAAAATTACTATAATGTTGCCTTTAGAAGGTAAATCTAGAAAAATTTTTAGGAAGAATATGAGGAAATATAGTATTTTCTAGTTCTCCTGAAGTGTTTTACATCATGACCAAGCCCAGTACTTACTAAATTTCTTTAACTTCCTCAAACTTTAAATTTGAGGTCTGTTTCAGGTGCCTATTTAGAGGTGCGAATCACTAGTGAGGGGATCTGCTGTGCTTTTCTTTGCAACAAACTTCCTAAAATTTCTCCTGTGAATATCAGTATATTTCCCACTGACTCATATTTTGTTGACTATTAAAGAAATTACAAAAGGAGAGAAAAACATAAACTAGAAGATCTTACTTGAATCCTTCTGAACTAAAATTTTATAAAAATTTATAAAGTTTTACACTGAGAAGAAATTAAGATACAGCAAAAAAACCTGATGTACCAAAATTACAAAATAATTTAAACTCCTCTAGAAACTTACCATCAATTTGTTACTGGAATGAAAACAGCAGCTTATATGGCAAGTCTTAAGAATGATACTTAGCAATATGATACGTAATGAAACATTCAGCCACTTTTAGGTAAGAAACTGTGCTATTCAAATGACTGATGAGCGTGAGCTCTCCTAGCCTCCAAAACCAACATCTGTTGATATACTGTGCAGTCATAGGCATTCGGGAGACCTTACAATATAGGGACTGAGTCTGCAGAAATAAAATACAGATAGCCTTTCCATAAGATGAAAGAGAAAAGCAAATTTAAAAAAGATTTCCTTTCTGAAACGCATTTTAGATATAAACCTCCTCCCGTGGAATTTATGTTGTCATAGGTTAAGGTACTGCTTTCTGCTTCAATGATTCAGATAGTTTAAATAGGGGCCGTTTCTATTGGTGTGTATTTGATTATGTACGAATGTGCACGTGTACACTAATTGGCAAATAGAACTATGAAAGGCACTAAAAAGAAAACTCCGCCTAGTATAGATATTTATTATGGTGTTCACACCAGAAAGCTTAGTTTACCTATAATATTGTTGTTCATTTTCTATTAAGAAAATATCATCTAGTTATGTTGAACCACTGTACTCAACACATAGCAGATTTTAAAATGGTAGCAGGCTCTTTGTAAGCTGGCGCTTAGCAAGGAGAAGGCCATGTCCAGTTCAAGCACCAAGACTGTGAAGCCCAACAGCGAGAGGCTGAACAAGTTCGAGTTGGGCATCTTCCAGGCTCTTCTGGAGCTGGAGATAAACTTGCACCTCCAGGCTCAGCTCAGGAAGCAGAGTATTCCAGCAGCTGAAGAACCTAAGTTGGTGGTGGTCAGAAAGCTATCATAATCTTTGTTCCCTTTCCTCAACTGAAATCTTCCCAGAAAATCCAGGTCTGGCTAGTACGTGAATTGGAGAAAAAGCTCAGTGGGAAGCATGCTGTCTTTATTTCTCAGAGGAGAATTCTGCCTAAGCCAAATTGAAAAAGCCATACAAAAAATAAGCAAAAGCGTCCCTGGAGCCGTACACGACACACTTCTTGAGGACTTGATATTCCTAGGTGAAATTGTGGGCAAGAGAATCTGTGTGAAACTGAATGGCAGCTGGATCATTTTAAAGGTTCATTTGGGCAAAGCACAGGAGAACAAGATGGAATGCAAGACTGGAACTTTTTCTGGTGGCTATAAGAAGCTCATGGGCAAGAATGTTAACTTTGAATTCCCAGAGT